TTTATTGTGTGTAGGCATTTTCCATTATTGGTTCATTTCTCCTTCACAACAATCCTGTGAGAGAAATTCACTGTGTAGGTGGGACACTGAGGCATAATGCAGTTACATAGAAGACTACAGGACCAAAAAGCAGTAAAGGCAAAAGTCAGACCCAGGATATCTGGCTCTGGAATTCAGTCCCTTAGCCATCCATGGCTCTACATGTATAGCAACCATGCCCATGTGCTGGGTTCTTCAAGCACAATTTATTCGCGACACGATACAGCATGGCGTCCTGGTGTGGCGCTGTAAGGTAACACACTGGACCTCAAGGTTGGTTTGAACCACAAGGTCTGCTGTTCATACTCAACCAGTCACTCCTCAGAAACCCTATACGGGGTCACTGTGAGTCGGAACCAACTCAAGGGCACTTAACAACAACAACAACTATCTTGCACATGCTGTTTAATATGTTTAAAAATAATCCGAACTTAACAAAATGGAAATATAAGGTCATTCTGTATGTGTGCAGGGAGATCGTTTCTCCTCTAAAAGTGAGTAGACCCGTTACAATTGTTAAAAAAAAAAAATTTCAAATTAGTTCAAAACAATAATACAGCATTTTATTGTTTCATAATTTATTAAACAATTTGCACAGTGGAGGAGTACAAGTCTCCAATCCATGAAGAAGAAATGAAAAACAAAAACATTCCCAAGGACTAGAGATTTCCCAAAAGATTAAGTATCTTTTTTCCTTAAGGACTACAAGTTTCCATGGTGACCAAGTACTTAATGGTTACTAAGTTAACATTAAAAAGATAACTTATGAAGATTTTGGTTCTGAACCCATTTGTAGCTACTGCTCCACTGTCATGGAGGACTGAGTAGAACTACCACATCGGATTTTCCAGGCTGTAAATCTTTATGGAAGTAGATTGTCTTGTCTTTCTCCTGAGTAGCAGCTGTGGGTTTGAACTGTCGCCCTTACAGTTAGCAGCTCACTGCTTAAGCGACAGCATCACCAGGGCTTCTGATTTGTAACTATTTTGTTGTTGGTTGTTAAGTGCTGTTGACTCAATTCCGTCTCATATTGACCCTGTATAAGGTTTCTGAGGAGTGGCTGGTGGGTTTGAACTGTTGACCTTGTGGATAGCAGTCCAGTACTTATTCTACAGCACCACCCCAGGACTTTGTAGCTATGAGAACTCTTCCAATTCACACTGAGGAAGCCCACCATCTTTTTCATTAAATCACAGTGTACTGGGTTCATTTTTGAATACCCATTTCTAACCAGAAAAGACAATTTGCAATGCTGTAGACACTTCTGGAAGGAGCTCTGGTCGCGTAGTGGTTACGAATCGGGCTGCAAACCGCAAGGTCAGCAGTTCGAAACTACCAGCTGCTCCGCAGGAGAAAGATGAGGTGATCTGCTCCCGTAAAGATTTATAGCCTCGGAAACCCTGTTTAGGGTCGCTATGAGTCGAAAACGGCTTGACGGCACTTAACAACAACAACAGACACTTCTGGAGGGAAAGAATGGCAATGCTTTTGGTACAAAAAAAAAACCACCTTGAAATCAAAGTTAGATGCCTTTCATTAATTTTTTTTCTTTTATAATAATGAATAAATTGGTGGCACTGTGGGATCAGCATTGGACTGTTAACCACAAGGTCTAGAATTCAAACCCACCAGCTGTTCTGTGGCAGAAAGATGAAGCTGTTTGCTCCTGTGAACTATGCACTCACAGAAACCATATAGGGTCGCTATGAGTAAGAATTGGCTCAATAGCAGTGTGGTTGTGGTTTATAAAATGAATTAAGCATGTTAATTTTAGGACTCTTTGGTAAGCTCTTCTACATAGATAATAATCATGCCATCAAGAAATGAAGACAGTTTGATTTCTTCTTTTCCCATCTGTATGCCTTGTCTTCTTCTTGTCTTAATTCCACTTGCTAAACCTTCCAGTCTGATGTGGAGTAGGAGAGGTGAGAAAAGACACCCTTGTGTGGTTCCCAGTCTTGCAGGGGAAACATTGAGTGTGTTTTATACACACACACATGCGTATCCTCTACTTGGTGAAGAAAGTTACCGTCTATTTCTAGGTTTTTGAGCATTTGAAAATCATAATTGGTTATTGAATTTTGTGTAATCTTTTTCTAGAAAACTAGAAAGATGATTTTTCTTATTTAGTCTGTTCATATGCTAAATTACACTGATTGATTTCTGAGCGTCGAACCAGCTTGTATTTATGAGATGGATCCTACTTGATCAGTATTTATTGTTGTTGTTAGTATTCTGTGCTGTCAAGTCAGTTGTGACTCATAGTGACCCTGTATAAGGTTTCCGAGAACTGCTCGTGGGTTTGAACTGCTGACCTTGTGGTTACCAGCCCAGTGCTGATCTACAGCGCCACACCAGCTTTTTTATACATGACTTTTATGTTGCTGCATTCAATGTACTAAGTTTGTTAAGGATTTTTATATGTGTGTTCCTCCTATGAGAAATTGGTTTAGCATTTTCTTATAATGCCTTAGTCTGATTTTGGTAATTGGGTAATTCTGGCCTCATAGAAACTCCCTGGCTGATTTCGCTTGGCTTCTAACCCAAACACAAGAGGTTGAAGTCCACTCAAAGGTGCTTCAGAAAAAAACCCCTAGAATTCTATTTCCCAAAGATCAGCTATTGAAAACCCCCATGGAGCACAATCCTACGCTGACACACATGGACTCGCGTCATAGAATGAGCTGGGAAGTGTTCCCTTGTCTATTTTCCAGCTGAGTCTGTGTAGAATTGGTATCATTTCTTCCTGAAGTATTTGGTAGAATTCACCTGGGTCTAGGTTTGGAGGTTTTCTTGTTGCTGTTGTTAAATGCCGTCGAATTCGTTCCGACCCATAGCATAGGATTTCTGAGGAGCGGCTGGTGAGCTTGAACTGCCAACCTTGTGGTTCAAACCGACTTTTCAGTCCAGCTCATTAACCCACAGCACCACACCAGGAATTGGAGGAAGGTTTATAACTACTGATTTAAACAAATTTCATGAAATAATCAGATTTTCATTAATGTATCATCCCCTGAAATGTGCTAAATTCTTTTTCAAACATGTTCAGATGAGATGTTAACAATGTACTGAAGTGCTTTTTAATGATTGTTGTTGTTGTTAAGTACTGTCAAGTCGGTTCTGATCCATAATGACCCTGTGTAGGGTTTCCAAGGAGCAGCTGGTGATTGTTAGGGTTAGGCACATGAAACTTTGATGCTGATTGGATTTCCAAACCCTCTCTAAGACCAAGGACTCATCCTTCCCATCATACTAAGGAACGTTTGCCGACTCTCTTGAGTCTATAGGTGTTCTTTCATTCTCAGAACTCATCTGAATCCTAAATGCCATGGTGAATTCTTGATTAATTCTTTTTTGTGTTATACTGTGTATTGACAAACCCTCCTGCTGTAAGAAGTTTAGCTTTTGATGCATCGGTCTGTGTGCACAGTCCTGGATACAGTGTTCTGGGTTGTTACTGTTGGTGTTAAGTGGCGTCAAGTCAATTCCAACACATAGCGACCCTGTTTCCATGGAGCGACTGGTGAGCTTGAACCAGCGACCTTGCAATTCAAATGACTTTGCAGTCTGATGCATTAGCCCACAGCACCACACCAGGACTCCATGTGTCCTGGGTAGAGGGAGGTTTTTTCCTTTTATTCTGAGAAAATGTTTATCCTTTTTTTTAATTGTTCTGGGTCTGTTTGCTTCTTTCCCATGACTAGTAATAAGCTGATACTTCTTTCCTTTTCTCTTTTGCATCACCAGGGAACAAACTCTGTTAAACATATTTAGATGCTACTGAAACAGGATAAATGACTCACTCACAGACCTCAGCTTGCTCTCTCACTGCTTAGTAGCAGATTTACTGAGTTCAGCCTTATTTTCCACAGCTTCTCTGCTTTTGACTTTACATCAGGGACCTTTTCGGTTGTTCCCTGTGACAACAAAACAGTCTAAACTCAGTTCCAAAGTTAATGATTAAATAAGTTCCATGGCGCAAAAAAAAAAACTCAACGGGACGCCTAGCCCTCCTGTCTGCCATTTTGTGGCTTCTACAAACAAGTTGGACTGCTAACCTCAAGGTCAGCAGTTTGAATCTACCAGTCGCTTCATGTGAGAAAGATGAAGCTTTGAGCTCCCGTAAAGATTCACAGCCTCAGAAACACTGTACAGGGTCACTGTGAGCCAGAACTGACTCTACAGCACACAACCACTACTACCTTAGGTTCACTTGTTGCAGATGAAATTAGGAAATTAAAAAAAAAAAAAAGCACAATTTATAATAACAGTTGTAAATAGTAATGCTGGGAAACAAAGAATTGCATTTTAAATGAGTCTAAGGATTCGTAATCCCATTTTTGGAACTTTCTATCAAGGAAATAATTCAACAGAAAAAAACTGTGTACCGGTCGGTATTGTTGTAAACTCTGCAGTGAAGATGTCAGCGTAGATTTTCCATGTCAAATAGTAGTAGGCAGCTATGTCTATTGAGGGACAAAACTTCTCTTGGGGTCACTAGGCTTAGCCACCAAAATAACACAACACCATGGGAAACTGTGTATGCAAAACGTGAAGTCAAAAAGCATCGAGTACGTAATAGTATATCGGCTGTGATAGGAGCTTAGGGAAATGTGCATTCTAATGTAATTTAGACTCATGGAAATGGTTTTATGATATCAGAATAATGGGTAGCTTTGTCTTTTCAATACTTTTTTTTTTAAGTTGCAATGTAATTTAAAATATGAAAGAGCCTGGAGGGCATGTCTCAGGGTTTTTTGTTGGTTTTTTTTTTTAAAGGGACAGAACCACCTAGATAAATAAATAAAAGGAAAAACTTGGAACTAATCATATTTACCAGTGTCTTGGTCATGAAAGGTTTCTAGGCACTAGAAAGCCCATGACCTGGGTGTAAGCCCCTTAGTGGGAGGCAGGGGATCTGTGGTTCACCCCCTCACTGTAACCGTGTCCCCTCCCTGCAGGAGCTCAGTGAGATGCTGTACACTGACCGGCCGGACTGGCAGAGCGTGATGCAGTACGTAGCCCAGATCTACAAATACTTTGAGACGTGAACCCTGAAAGCCTGAGAACATTGGCCTCAGAAGCATCGATCACTTTCCAGAGATCCTGATCTATCTACCTTCCTGCCCTCAAAGCTTTCAAAGGAAGGCTCCTTGGTGATTCTGAATGAGCTCAAAGTGGACCCACAAACACCAATGAAACTGCAACGACATTGTGTACCCAGCTTAAATCAGAAAGCACTTTGGTGTACAACTTGGGGAAGCTTCTATCTCCCACAGGGTGTCTCTAGAGAGTGTGGTCTCCTTCTCACTCCAGGTTTATGCTCAGACTGATTCCCAGTAAAAACCAGAACACCTCCCATCACGTTTGTGACTTAACTCGTAGTCTGCATAGAGATTCTGAGATGTAGGCATCCCAAGCACACAGTGCTTCCAACGCCATAATTTTCTTCAATAAATAAAAAATGGCTTTTGCCATTATAGAAACTTAACCCTTGCTACCATACCACCTCACCCCCAAAAAATAGTCCTGGTGTGGCGCTGTGGGAATGGTAACTGTAACGTCGGTGGTTCAAACCCACCAACTGCTCCTCAGTAACCCTATACAGAGTCACTGTGAGTTAGAACCAACTCAACAGAACTTAACTACCATCACCACTACCCCTTCGCAAAAATAAACATTTGCTCAACCTGGAAATACATATATACCTTTTGAGGAAATATGCTCAAATTCTCGGTGGCAATTTTAAAGCTTAGAACTTGATTCTATTTTTAGATTCATGGTCACATATTTGATGATTTGGATAAAAATGACAATCTACCTGAGTAGATTACAAGGATTACAATGTCCTGCGCAGTGGTGGTCCACCCAGGGGAGAGAGCTTCCCGCTGGCTGCAGGCTAAAGGGTGGGCAGCTCTGGCACACCCCATCCATATGACTTCCAGGCTCCATGGGATGTCTGCTTGCTGAAAGGAAACTACAGGAATTGTCCACTTTTACTGCCTTTTCTCCTCCATGCCCCCATATTCCAGTTCACACACAATCTGTCAGCAAGGCGGGCCTGGAGAGAAAGCCGCTGTGTGAAGAGAAAACCACAAGTCTCACGTCTCTGTGTACCTGCACAATTAAACAAGTTGAGTGTGTGTATTTCTTGAGATACTGGGTAGCTAGAAAATATATTTTTCATGTACTTTGATTGTTAACTTCCTTAGCTTGAAGAATTTTATCAGACCTTTTACATTTCCTAGGCAAAAAGGGAGGCCTTAGGGCTGGGCAATGATCATCAAACAAAAATGCAGCTTGCTTCTGACTTATCCCTAAGAAGCATCTGAGCCGTCTCCAAAGCAGCCCCCACATCAGAAGTCTATTGGTGGCTTTGGGGGTTCTTGTTTGGCAACTAATATACATAACATAGCCAATGAGGGTACAGCTCACAAGTGCAGTTTAGCTAAATGTGTAAGTCGTTTTGCTGAGTTAAATGCCCAATAGCTCAGGGAAAGGATGATCCTGGTGTCAGTAAGCCACTGAGAATTACTGTACTGTGACTCATATTTACAAATAATTTGTGATTGCTGATCTGAGGCCCCTAGAGTAGAGACGGCAGGTTCAGCCCCCTCACTGGGATAGAATGAGTTCTGTTCTGAGTCTGACCCCCACACTCCAGATCAGCAGTTTGAGCATCTGCCCTCTGCAGGTGGGTCCAGCCCTCAGTCTCCAGCTGCCCGACAACCTGGGGAAGGAGGCTGTGTCTTCCTCCCCACCCTCCTGGTGGGTCTCAGCCTTGACTCCATCAGAATCTCCTGAGCAATTTTCTAAAAACAACCCACTCCACTGGTGAATTTGAGTGTCTAGGGTGGGACCTGGAAGTATTCTGTACCTTTAAAAACTCCCAGGCAGTTTGGGTGCTTGCCCCCACAGAGACCCTCTGAGAGGAATGTACACCCACGGTTGCTGGCAAAGTGACGAGGTCTGTGGAGCCCTGAGCAGCTGGTTGGTGATGATTGTTACATAACTGGCCCCTTTATTCTTAAATGGGACTTGCTCCTTCCTGGTAAAGACTTCCAAATGAAAGCTATTTCTTTTGTTGACTTGCCTAATACATCTGCAATCTCTCGGATTCTGCACTCACTTTTAATGTATGTGTGGGGGCGGAGGGGAGAAGAGGTAAATAGCTCAAGTAGTTGGGTTGAGCTATTTATTGTCATATCTAATCTGGAACTGAGTGGGGTTTTGTGTGGGAGAGGAAGTAGAGGCTTGGGGATACCCAGTGAGGGCGTTTAACATTCTTGACCTCTCAGTATCACAGGTAGGTCTCGAGGTGTTTTTAGTGATGACATGCGAAAGCTTGAGAAAGAGCTCTGGGCAGAGCAGTCTCTAGACAGTGATGGAGCTGCCAAGAGCACATTGCTGATGTTGGCCCAGCTCACCCATTGTGTGTCCTGCCACCGCAGGTTAGAAAGAAAGATTGTCACATGAAAGAAATGCTGTGTGCAATTTATTTTTCCTAACTCAAGGAAGTATTCTGATCCTGTCCCTGCCAGTCAGCATGCCTGTGGGAGAGGACATGTATGCTGTGCTCAGAGAAGCAGAAATATAGGCCGTATCGTGGGGCACACACCCTTTTGGGGAGTCCTAGTATGGTACTGTGGGTTAATGCACTGGACTGCAAAGTCGGTTTGGACCACAAGGTCGGCAGTTCAAGCTCACCATTCGCTCCTCAGAAACCCTATACAGGATCATTATGGGTCAGAACTGACTCAATGGCACTTAAAAACAATACAAACAGCAATACACTTTTAGACTTTTCTTCCAGCATTTTCCCCTGGCAGCAGTGGAATGACTGTACAAATGGTTTCCGTAAGAGAAATTTGGAAAATGTATACCGATTCCTATCTCAAGTCTCTGAGAACCTGAGGCTAACTATGTTCAGATCGTGTTCTCACTTCTCCTGACCTGCTGCTCTGTGGGGAGAACGCTGGAGTTGAGAGGATTCTTACTTTCTGCTCATGATGGAAATAGAAAACAATGACTGGCTAAATTTAAAAAGAGAAAACAGGACTGCTTAAGATAATACAACTACAAATGCAAAAACAACAACTATTGTTATTTTTGGACTGACTAGCAGGGCACCAGGTCAGGCCAGTCAGCTCCACCAGCTAGTGGCAGCAGGGTTAGGGTGAGGGAGAGAGGCATGGCTGGCCGGCATGCCTGTAGAGGAGCAAGGTCAGAGAGGAGCCATCCTTGGAAGTCAGCCCTGGTCAGCGCCCCAGCCAGGGCTGAGTCACCCTGAGTAGGTTTTTCACATCAATTTGTGAGAGAACTCAGAGCACAAAAACCGCACTGCTGTTGAGTCCACTCCAAATCATAGCAGCCCTATTGGACAGGCTAGAACTGCCCCTATAGGATTTCATCTTACAGAAGCAGACTGCCACGTCTTACCATCTTTCTCTCTACAGAGGAGCTGGTGGGTTCCAACTGCAGACCTCTTCTGCTTAGCCAAGCACTTAACACTGAGTCCCCACGGCTCATTTCAAAGCCCAAGGTGAATGTGAAAAACTGACAAACTGATCAAACAAAGGAGCATCTTGTCTTTGCTGTATGTCTACTCAGAAAACTGCATCCTTCCCAGCTTTCTGTCCCATCTTCTTTAGTCATTAAGTGACTAGAGAGTCATTTAAATGTTTTAATTTTTACTAAGGAGCTCTGATAGCGGAGTGGTTATGAATTGGGCTGCGAACTGCAAGGTTAGCAGTTCGAAACTACCAGCTGCTCCATGGGAGAAAGATGAGGCGTTCTGCTCCCGTAAAGATTAACAGCCTCAGAAACCCTGTGCAGGGTCGCTATGGGTCGGAACCGACTCCACAGCACACAACAACTACAACAAGCAACTGCAAAATGTCAGACCTGTAGGTGAATGGAGGGATCTCTTTAAGACATAAGAAGTCTGGAGTTCTCTGCTGTGTGAGTGGAGTTGCAGGCTTGAATTTCAGTTGAGTAATAATATGCAAGGAACTCTGGTAGCATCATGGTTACGAGTCGGGCTGCTAACCTCAAGGTCAGTAGTTCAAAACTACCAGCCATTCATGGGAAAAAGATGAGGCTTTCTGCTCCCAAAGAATTACAGCCTTGGAAACCCTATGCAGTCGGAACTGACTCCACAACACACCACCACCACCATTACTACACAGGGTCGCTATGAGTTGGAACCGACTCAACAGCTCTTAACAACAACAACACTAGCAAAGAGGCCCCTGCCCTTCTGGGATAACATTCTGAAGAACCAGGCAAGTTCCAACTGTCTTGCCTCGTTTCCTTCTTGCTTCGAAATTGGTGTTGGTCTTTTTTCATTCTCCATTATTGTTTTATATCCTCTGTAGGGACCATGCAAAGTAGATGTTGTGTGTGTTGGACAAAATATTCTTTCCAAAGTGACTCTCCATCTAGCAATACTAGGTAACTTTACTGATATTTGCCCCACAGAAGCACTGGTTGAGAGAGTCTTTCTCGGTGTCTTCTCCAGTCCCTTGGAGGATTGGAGGGCAGCAGTTCCCTGGAGTGCAAAGACAGAGGACTTGGGTTCTTAAAATAGAATTCTATTGGCCAAATCCAGGAATAGTTCTTATATTCCAGTGCTTCCAGTACCATGCAGTAAAGGATATAACCCAGCAACCTTTCTTAAAAGTATTTTTAATATCTACATTTGCTCAAATTCATGGGTGGTTTCACTTCTTTGACCTCGGTTAGAGATTTGCTAACCCTGTAACATCCTGAGTAGCTCACTAATTTTAACTACATTAGTTGAAAGCAATCGATAACATCTGTGGCCTCGTTTCTGTAAAGAGCCTACTAAATGGTACAAAGCATTGTCAGGATAGGGCGTGCGAACATAGATGTATTTAAATTTTAACATACAAGTGTACAATGTATGGCTCATATTTCTAATAAATATACTTTGTTTCTGCCTGATTATGAGTATTCCAATACAGTAATATTTACAGTTAATACTCTCTCTGGTAGCGTAGTGGTTACGAATCGGGCTGCGAACCTTAAG